TTGACCTTTGACCTGTGACCTCCAATTTCGGCACAGTGATGGCTTTTCCTACCATGATGCCTATCACGAGCCTAGGTCGAGCCGTTTAGATTTGTGCCGCAATTCTGCATTTCCTCCCTATACCTTAAGTTAAAGAGTGAATGTTCCCCCTTCTTTTACACCTCTTGACCTTTGACCTTTGACCCCCAGCTTCGACATCCCAACTCGTTTTGACGATCCCTCCCGATGTGCCGAATATCGTGACCGTACGTCGAGCGGTTAAGATTTGTGCCCAACTGTTGACGCACGGACGGACGGACGGACGGCCGGACGCACGGACGGACGGACGGACGGCCGGACGCACGGACGGACGATCATGCGATTCTACAAGCTGCATCTGACTATGTCAGATGAGCTAATGAGAGCAATAAGCAAATTTCTGTTGAAAAAGAAAACCTTTTCCATCATCTACTCATTCAGTATTTAAAAAATTAAAATGTCTAACTATATTAAAGGCACCCACTGGTTTGAGAAGGCACATGTAAATCAAAAGCTATAAATACCTGTTATACATGTAGCCGCAGTACATACACGTAAATTCATACTCATATAATTAGAAATATAAATTATAACCCTACCATGAGAAGTTACCTACCGATTCTTCAAATCTGTCAGTTCTTTCAGAATTTGCTTGTAATTATCATTAGCCATGTCTGCAAGTAATTATTTGCATCATTAATCAATATATAGTGCAGATGCAGTTTCACACATAGTACCTGCTACATAAGCTAGCGGGGACAAGGGGGCACTTGTCCCCTCCCCCCCATAAATGTAGATACATTAGTTACATGGTCAACGATGATCACCTTCCCAGAACACAACCCGCTCGATAGTGCCTCTCCCAAAGCAAAATGCAAATGGCTTAATTAGCTACGCTCCTCAGTCTCCTGTTAGTGTTAGTAGTACTACTATACTAGTAGTATAGTACACATTATATCACTATTAATACTACTAATTAAAATACTTATTCATACTATTAATTATAATATCATGTGAGCCCTACACTACAAGTACAGTCTACAGGCTACATGTGACTAGTATTATTAGTTATAAGTTATAGTTATATACTATAACCTATTACATGCAATAAAGATTTAATAATAATAATAACTATTATTATTCACTAATACTAGTCACATGATGTACTACTATCATGTACTGTAGGGATCACAGTCATGTGTCACTGTCAGTGACAGTGTTAGCTCTAGAACTATAGCCCGGGCCTTCGCTCTAGATCTGGATCTGGATAGTTTTCTGCGTAGCCCACGGTTACGTGGATAATAACGCAGGGATAGCTATAGCTAGCCATGGGGTGTGACCTAGCTTGGGTAAAGCCAGGTAATTAGCCTTTAGCCGAATGGCACTGAGAGTGGTCACAGCCAGAGTTTTTTTTGCGCCCTCAGTGGTTCTTTTACGTCCCCATTGGCCTTAGTATTACTGGAGACGGGACCGCCATTTTACGTGGTCATCCGAGCCATGGGAGATTCACACTCAGTCTCCAATGTTGAGAGCCAGGTTTTTACACCTTGAGAAAATTCACTGCCCCGGCCGGGGTTTGGACTCACAGCCTTCAGTGGACAGTGTACAAGGCCTAACCACTGGGCCACGGAAGCTTCTCCACAAGATTCAAAATTCAAAGATGTTTATTCGTGCATAAGACATAGGCCTACATTACACTTACAGTGTACAACGGAAGATATGAGAATGAGTCTGAATGACAGGTCACAATACATGATTTGACAGAGATAAAGCACGGGGGTGGCGAAAGACCCGAAGGTCATCAAAGTCTGCCACCCCTGCACAGGCACAGGCCTGTGTCACAGTCGTGTCACGTGTGTGTGGCTGTGGCAGAGCGAAGGGCTCTAAGACTATGACAGTACTGGTACTAACTTTCACAGTTTAACACATACTGCCTTCTTTTTTTCTTTTTTTCTTTATTTAGGCAATTATCCATCCATTAGTCATTACAATGTCTTTTGCCATGTATTCAACTGCTTTATTTCAAGTGATTACGTCTCCGTAAATAGTAAAAATTAAAAAATCCACTTTTTCACAAAATATAAGTAATTCTGTTCACTTTTTATGGTTAAATTGCTTCATTATACTTCCTATTTTACTATATTGTTCGATGTGAACATACACTCGTGACTCATCAAATCGTCTAGGTTTTTTGGATTTTTAACTAGTTGGGAAACAATCTTATCAGGTAAGAATTTGACGATACATTTAGTCCCGTTAGTTCTTACTTTTAAAATGTAAAATGAAAGTGTCAATGACACTGTAGCTCACCACAAAACAGGACACAAATGAGTGAGTAAGAAGAAGCCAGTTTTAATTGAGCAAACCATCGACGTTACATTATAGAAACGATTGCCATCTGTATATCACAATAATAATTATAAACCAAAATGAATCACAATTTGTGACCGTAGATGGCGCTATACCCACTTTGTAGCGATGGCGTTTGAAATAAATAATTGTGCTGGCGTTCCAACATGTTTTGTAAAACTTTACTCTAATATAGACGTTTTATCGGCAGGGTGGAGAGGAAATACAATTTTGCAATAAAGATATTGTTAATGAAATCTTGCTAAAACGAACCAGACGAGTGTGACACCACAGACTGTTTGTGTCTATATAATATGCTATATAATTGCCAAACCCTACCTAATTTGCATAATTTTTTTAAATATAAACCCCTAGCCCTTATTCATTCACATATCAAAAATGAGCAAAATCCGTTGAACCTGAACTGACTAATGGCAATTCCCATTTTTGCCAAAAATTTCCGTGGCTCGAAAGTACGTCGACTGGCGTCAAAATAAGATGTTTAATATGGGAGCATAGCAGTAACAACTATACCCAATTTCAAACATGTGGGCCAAACGGTTCCTGAGTTATCGTTGACCGTAGCGAAATGTAGAGCGACAGACGGACGACGACCCATGGCAATAGCTCAGCTTGACGATGTCAAGGTGAGCTAAAAATGGCAACCAAAATTTTACACATTTTACCAGGAATAGAAAATTCGTGACGTACGGTACCGTAGCGGCGTAGGCCTAGTCAATTTCAACTATATGTAGCCTGTAAGATCAAAACATGCCGTAGACTCAATTCGGATATTATGAGTTAGTAGTTTTATCAGAAAGACCATTCAATTCTGGTTATTTTGACACCAAGATATCTTCCTATGTCACATGGTTCGGAAGTTATGAGCATTTGAGTAGTTGAAATCGGGCAGATTTTGGAAGTTCAGAGTAATTAGGTCATAAAGTTAAAGTTTGTTTCATTTGCCTGCATTTGGACAAAATCTGAATAACACAGTGCCGCAGAGCGACAGCGCTCATTCTAACGTCTACTGCGGTGACTCTGTGGTAGAGTGGTGGGATTCTAGTTGTGGGATCTAGTAAACCCTGTTAGTCCCAAATGTGTTCACATAGTAGCCGAAACAGTGGAAGGCCAGAGGATGGTATCAGGAACCTTCGCAAAGGAATGTTCGTTGGGATCGTTATGAAAGTTGCCACGAGATGGCGCGTACGTTTAAGTGTCTCAAGATTAAAGATGGAAGCTCCCATCGTACGTAGTAGCAACAACTATTTGCAAGACAGAATAGGTAAGCACTCATCCATTTACCTACGCAAGCCTACAGGCTGAAATAGAGAGCTGCCACCTGTAACTAATTAACGCAGGCAAAAACCACACGTACTATCACCACCACATGCACTGGCATAAGTTACATGTAACACACTGACAGTACAGAATGCCATAAAAATTATACGATTTAAAGAGCATAAACCTTCTTCAACCAAATTTAGCTTTTGAAATTTCACTGTGACATTGTAGCCTCATACATCCAGGCATGTATAGATTCTACTAGCAAACCGCAGTCAAATTCTTTCTAACAGTAAACAAATCCATGTTTAACCCGCCTCTTGAGGGTCAAAACGTTATCCGACACTTACTCTTGCGCATGTCAGCAGAAAGTACATTTCATGGTCCTTTCAATAAAGTCATAAAAATGCTAGGTCACCGCTGAAACAAAAAAGTTCTCAATCGCTCCGTCAGACCATGTCCTCAGAAAATGTCTAAAATCTGTCTGTGGCCCATTGACCTTTGACCTGTGACCTCCAATTTTCGAACACAGTGATGGCTTTTCTACCATGATGCTATACACCGACTATCACGAGCCTAGGTCGAGCCGTTTAGATTTGTGCCGCAATTCTGCATTTCCTCCCTATACCTTAAGTTAAGGAGGGAATGTTCCCTTCTTTTACAGCTCTTGACCTTTGACCTTTGACCCCCAGCTTCAACATCCCAACTCGTTTTCGAATTACCGCCCCCCCACACCCCACGTTCTAAATATCGTGACCGTACGTCGAGCGTTAAGATTTGTGCCCAACTGTTGACGCACGGACGGACGGCGGATGCACGGACAATCATGCGATTCTACAAGCTGCATCTGACTACGTCAGATGAGCTCAAAATATCTTCCCATTGAGCTAGACACATGAATTTTTGCATGCACGTACCAGACATAATAACCATCCACTGTATGAAGTACGAAAATGGTATCTTACAGTTAAGGTAAGTAATTCAGGTAATTAATTAGGGTAATTAAACCATTCATTATCTGGACTTTTTGGACACACAAATAAACACATAAAGACACACTTTTGGCCAGTTTTATTGATGTAACATCGAACATGGATAACTACTAAGCGTATTTATGACAAAAAAAATTGGCTTTTTACTATTTTTAGTAGCCCGACCAGGCTGTGCGACGGATTGTCTATACAGCCTGACACCCTTCCATACAAAAAACCTATCACCTCTGCAGATCTAGATGAATAACTCTGTATATTTCAAATAAAACTATCTATTACCACCTTTGACTTGCCTTTTTTGAAATATGAACGTTAAGGATACTGTCCACGTTGTGCAGCGGTATTGCTCTAGTGAAGATTTAAACGTTTATTGCGAATGAATCGAATCAATCACTTGTTTTATTTATAGAGGAGATATATCTCTATGCTCAAGCCAAAAAATTTCATGAAATTCCCGCACCTAATTATGTTACCACACAAATTTTGAATTTTTATGTAAAAAAGGTATTTTGGATATTTCTCAACTACCAGAAGGAGTGAGGATACAAAATTTTTGCCACATGTTAAGCACAATATGGACCAAAATAGCCCATCAGAATTTTTCTTTAATTTACGATATTTACCGAGAAAACTCGAAAAACTGCTTAAAAATCAAGTTATGTGTAAAAATAGAAAATTTAGCGAATAAAGAGCATAACTAATAAGTAAGGCACTTAATAACAATCCCTGACGGGCTTTTTTACCCAAAATGTACCATTAAACTGAGTGTAAAATTAAATTAATCCGAGTTGTAATCACAGAGAATATCCATTTATACATCGGCTACTATGTCATAAATCGAAACGGAGAAATAAGCGTTTTTCTATTTTTCACAATGAGTGACCGCCTGTGTGCAAAATGGGTGAACGTATGTGATATATTCTATTGTTAGTACTTACTGCAACATATCCATGACTAACTGACACCACTAAATTGGTAAAATGTTCCATGCACCTTGAGAAATTCTGAGAAATTACGAGGTGACCACGCAAATTCATGCAAATGGCGCGAACCCTGACGTCACTGTCAACAACGCGCGCCTGATGTAAGGTGCGTTGCGAGGCGTGAGAACTATTTTAGGCTCTTGTGGGATACTAATTGGATCAGGGTAGTAGTACAGCTGTAGCAGGTTGATGTTGATCAGGAGTAGATAATAGGGAATTCCCTATTATCTACTCCTGATGTTGATGGATACTGCCTCAGTGAATATCGTGAAAATGCTGGTTGTATCATTTGTCTGACGTCATAATGACGTCAGCCGCTGCTTACTACACATGTACGCGGGCAAGCAAAAACGCTCTGACAGTTCACATGTCCCGTTATATGGAGAAATGAACATGTACACAGGTGGCACATAGTGTTAGCCATCGAATAAAGTTGAAAACGAAAAATCGATGAAATTTCATGCACAACGTGAACAACTCACAGTTGTTCTGCTTCTAAACTAGAATGTATCTCTAATTCACGGTATTATCTGCAAATTCTCACAGCATATCAACTTTCCAATCAGCTTTACCCGCCATGTTTAGCGAGGCACGGAAAACCCGAAATGGAAAAGACTTGCTAGAAAATACTACAGAAATAGTACGATGGCTCTCACGGCAATTACACACCAAAGCAAGTGAAACGATGTTCACAAATGTCTGGCGCATTTTCTCGGATGATCATGTTGGGGTGGTTTACATGAGGACCGCAGATCGTTTAATTTCGCTTTGTTCGATCCATGGCGGATTTTAGTCCACAGTCGGAATGATAGCAAACATGGGCGGCGAATTCATAAATTTTGTTGCATTCGTCTCAAAATCCCTTAAACCCGTAAGTACCCAGCGCATCGTAGCGCACTGATGGTTACAGAAGGTGGACGTATACCGATTCATTTGGTATATCACATGTGTAGTGTTCTTTAGCGATACTTGGCAAATAAGGCAACTACGTGTTTAGCTGCAGCCAAGGTTTGAAACGGTATTCTAACCCTAGCAATACCGTTTCTTGGAGCTATATTTTTACACAGTGGCTATATGCCCGGCAGCCGGCGTATATCTGACGGCTGCCGGGCACGGTCTTCGATTTCCTAAATGCCCGGCAGTTTTTAATTTTTAGCGTTATCTCAAGTAAACAAGGGTTAGGGTTAGAGTTAGGATTAGGGTTAGGGTTAGGTTTAGGGCTAGAGTTAGGGTTTTTATTAGGTTTAGGGTTAGGATTAGAGTTAGGGTTAAGAACTGCCGGGCATTTAGGAAAACGAAGACCGTGCCCGGCGGCCACAGCGATATTTTTAGGTGCACAGAATGAACATTGAAGTCCTACGGCATGTTTTCATCTGACACTGACAGGCTAGCATATTGATATTGATATTGGCCTCTTTTTCGTTCTATGTGATAAATGATATAATATGCCCATAACTTATATATAACTATCGTGGCTAGTTATTAAATTGATCTTTACCCTGGCTCTAAACTTATTTACTGTCTTATACTTAAACTATAATTTAGTACTAGTACTAGTACTAGTAGGGCTCTCACTTTCTTGCTACGGACGCTACCGCCAGAGGTCGCATTTATTGTTTTAAAACGTGAATTATTCTACAAAGTATTGCTCACAAAACTTAATATTCTGAAGAAGTTTGCATTTATTTTAAGGGTCCCTTATAACTGTTGATTTTCGTTCAAAAATATTAACGATTTAAAAAAAAATGTTTGCGTTAAGCGTTGCATTTGCATTCAACCAATAAGAAGATGTGTGTTGTCAACAGCGATCCAATCACATCACGCGAGCCGAGAGACACCGTATTTGAAAGATTAAAAGGACACATCACTCCCATTTTCTTGCGTGGCTTTGTATACCGTTGTTCAAAGTCTTGTCTCGCAAACGAAAGCTTCTACAATTACAAGTGTAATTCCTACAGTACACCTTCAGTTGAAGATGGCTTTGAATTTGCAGCGTCGTGCATTGGTAAGAATAACCTAATAGTGCTGTATATTAGTATTAATTTGGCTTGCCGCTTGGCAATATAAATATAAAATAAAGTAGGCTTACATTACATAGCTCATACTCATACTCATAGTCATAGTCATAGACATTAGCTGTACACAACACAGAAAACCCAAAAAGTACGTTAGTGACATAACGCGGTAGTGTGTAAGTCGGTAGTGTTCACGTGTAAATTACAAGTTTATCACTTTGTTAGCTAGCTAGTATTTCAGAAGTAGATTATTTCCTATAACAATGTCAATGCGTCAATAGGCCTAAATCAGCAAATGTGTTTTGTTATTCGGTTTGCGTTATTTTTTGTTATGTCCCATTGGCATTGCCCATTGAATTGAACTGAATTGTTTAGCACTAGTTATTAACTCATATACACTTGCATACATTTACAGAGCAGTATGTCTTCGAATACCGGAAGAGAAAACGTTGGCATATTGAAAGGTAAAGCTGGTACTCAGCGGACAATTGCCACAGGTAGTACCAGGCAAGCACTTGATAATGTTTCAAATGCTTATACAACTTCCACTGCTGGGCAAGATGGAAAGAAGGTGGGTTATGATCATACCAAGCATGTGTAGAAACTTTAGCTGCTCGAAATAGTCATTACACGTAGTAGGCTGTTGTGTACATCATAATTATCGCAGTAATTTCAGTACCTGTACCACTGGCACTGAGTACGCCTACACCTGCGAGCCCAAACACTAATTTATATCTTAATATTTTGTGGAAAGCTTGTGCTGTGTTGGGCAGATAAAAATATAATGTTCACACAATGCAAAGGTGAACTGTTTTATGTGGTAGTAGTGTAGTTTTAATAATCATCATCATCCGGCTTTGCTGCTTGCACGGATTCTTCTGACTCTCTCGCCACCCATCACGGTCATCCATTGCATTCGGCAGGTCGATCTTCGAGTAGACATCCAGAGTCTTGACAGTTTTAATAATAATTGTATGTATACATTGCATTTTGTAGAAGGTGGCTGCAGATCATGGTACCTTCAAACCCCGAAAGGGATTGGTGAAATCACGGGCTACATCATCACTGATCCCTGTAAAGGAAGAAAAGGAAATAACGAAAAAGACCGTGAAGGTTAGCAGTTCAATATTATTTATTATTATCAAATCTTTATTGCATGAATTCAGATACAAATACATGTACTAACGACAGTTTTTTTCATGGAGAAAAAATCTGATAAAAGCAATAGTGTTGAGTAGTTGAAATGATAAAATTTCTGATGGATACAGTACAATTACAATGCTATACAACATGAAGATATATGTACTTGTTAAAGCTAGGATTTCTCATGTTTTTACCAACCATTCTGATACTTACAGGTACTCCTTGCCTAACACCAATTGTATAATAAAGCTAACATGTCATAGAACAGTCACACAACATTCTTTCCACCAATTCAATATGTGCACCGATCTGCATTTCAAATAGGACTGTTTACATATATATATATGTAAACAAACCTAGTGCGTGATTTTTGCTCTCGCAAGACTGGAGAGCTGTCTCTACACTAGATTAATTACCTTTGTATACATTTCGAGATGGGTTCGAGTCTATAAATATTTGCGCCAAGTAACTACGTGCGCTCGTTTTGTGGGACCGTTTGAACATTTCATTATCGCGAATCTGAAAATAGCGGGTGCATGTTTGCTGTTAATGGGGTTAATGGGCTCTTGGTAATATATATATTGACAGGTGAGTCTAAATTTCACTTCATTTAATTTCTCGATTTACTTGAGATGATCGTTTTAAGGGGTCATGGACAGTAAATTAAATTATTTGATTAGGGTTTATACAATTTTTGCTGGTATTGTGGTATCGGATTTCTAAGTCTTTGCTGTTAATCTTGGTAGAAGGAGAAACCAGCATCCCTTTTACCCGTGGACATCAGCTGCTTAAAACTTGATGATTTCACCCTTCCTCCTGGTATAATGGATATTGACACAGAAGACAATGACAATCCGCAGTTGGTCAGTACCTATGTGAACGAGATCTACATGTACTTGCGTTTCCAAGAGGTAAGCACTGCGGGTATTAAATGTAATTATTATTGTAGCCTACCAGTAATATTTTTTTCAAGCTAAATTCTGGATACCTTGTCAGAAAGTCCCATGTCTTTGTCATAGTTTGTTGGTGATACATTTCCCTCCTATCTAAAATCAAAATATTTTGGTAGTTCATCATCTGGAGTTCTGACTCTCTAGAAGTCTATCTGTCTTTGAAACTGCTACATTTAGTAGAGCTGAGCCACTGTCACAGCGGAAGTTGTATTTTACAGCAACTGTTTCCGGTAAAGTCCAAATATCTTGAGAAGCACACAAACCTGAATGGCAGAATGCGTGGCATTCTTGTCGACTGGCTGATCCAGGTGCACAACAGATTCCACTTGCTGCAGGAAACTCTCTATCTCACCATCGACCTACTCGACCGTTTCTTGCAGGTTCGTTGGTAACCTATTTACAGTACAACCCAGTGTGTTTTTTGTTCTGAATTTTCATAAACGTCATGATAATAGAAAGTCTTTTGGTGACCCTGCTGTCTAATCACCGGTCACTAGTAAAATATAAGATGCGTGTGTTGATTGCAACATCTCCTTTGGTTACAGGAGATTACAGATGTTACTCGTGACAAGCTGCAATTGGTTGGTGTCACCGCAATGCTAATTGCCTCCAAATATGAAGAGATGTATGCGCCAGAGGTCAATGATTTCGTCTATATCACCGATAACGCTTATTCGTCTGCGGAGATCCGAAAGATGGAAGTGTTCATGCTAAAGACACTGTCATTCAATATGGGAAAGCCACTGTGTCTACATTTTCTTAGGAGGAACTCCAAGGCTGGAGGCGTGAGTATTACCTCAATTACTTTCTGTGTGTGTGTGCGTGTGTGTGTGTGTGTGTGGTGCATGCATGTGCTTGCACATACCTCTTAGTCTTCTTCTTACTCTGTGTTTAGTAAAACTTTTCTTTGATAATTAAGGTAATGAACCCTCATGTGTTGCCACAGGTAGATGCTCAGATGCACACACTTGCAAAGTACCTGCTAGAGCTGATGTTGCCGGAGTACGAGTTTATACACTACAACCCATCTCAACGGGCTGCTGCTGCTCTATATCTGGCTGTTCTGCTTATAAATGGAAATGCATGCTGGGTGAGTGCACTTTGTAAACTTATGGTGGGAGTGCTAGTGGTTTGTGTGATTATTCAAATGTTGTATATTTTTAACTTTCACTAGTTTTGTGGACACAGTTTGGCAATATTTTGGTTTGTTTCTGGCTCTGCTCTGAAAGTCTCATTCGCATACAAAAAGCTGTTTGCTCTTTACAAATGCTATGAATCTTGTAAATTTTAATTATTATTTGATATTCTCATGCGGTGAATATAGCTTGCAACAATGTAGTTATTAGCAAATATATTATCATTGCTGGCCAATTTTAATGACATTCTATTGAAATGTTGCTGACAGCATGTGCATACTTGCTAATTACATCTTGTATTCAGTTCTTTTGGTTATTCTTTTAAGGGGGTCATGTAATTTGTGTGCGTTACAGAATGAGACGCTGGCATTCTACAGTGGTTACACGCAGGATGAGCTCAGCATACTCATTTCCAAGCTCGCCTCTCTTGTCACGAAGTCTGAGACGGCAAAGTTGCAGTTTGTGCGCACTAAGTATACAAGCAGCAAGTTCATGAAGATCAGCACCATTCCCGAACTGCAATCGAGTGTACTGACAGAGCTCGCTGCCCAGAGATTGTAGCCAGTGTGCTGGGGGAAGTGAACTAGTTGCCATCATGTGACTGTACATTTTGCAAATGGATCCCGCCATGGTTAACAGTGGAAGAATCAAGAGATGGAGAGACGAGTGAAGATGATTGTACACCAAATGGTCGCTCACAATTTATCTACGAAGATTGCCCTCCAGAAGAAGTTGTGAGATAATTGTATATTCTATTTGAATGAATTTCACTAATTATGTAAATAAGCTATTTGCCACAGTCATTATATTATGTGTTTCTGTAGAGCTAGATATAGTGGATGCTCTTGTTTTGGATCATCGGTGCATTGAGGCTGGTTTCAATCTGCGTTCATACTGTCTTCATATTGTTTCCTTTTCTATCAAAATATTGGAAAGCTAGGTAGATTGTATAAATATAGGTAGGTTGTCTGTCCAGTGCCTGGTAGGGTATTTGAAATACGGAGTCATTATTTGTATGTATTTAAACTAGGGTTTATAATTTTGTTTGTAAGTTTTATTTTATATTAAATTAATAATAATTAGGTTTTAAATGTTAAAATACTAACTGACAATGCCCTTTCTTGCTATTATTATATTACAAGGTTTATCGATGGCTGTTGGTCTCATCATGTTTAGCAACTTCCATTGTTTCAGGCAGGCACTTCTAGCTATGTAGAATCATGAGCCTTTCATAATCTCTCCTGCAGTTCTTAAACCTGTTTTGGGGTCATGGTGCTAATTTACAGCATGCTTATCTCAATCACTCTTATAGTCTTGTTTTCTTAGTCATTGTCTTGCATCTAAATGTCTCTATATTGTACTTCCGTCTTGTTGTGTTTGTGATTGTCAGGTGTATGACCACCTGACCACACCTGTACTTCTGGTGAATATGCGTTTGCTAGTCTAACCAAGTGTCTTTGTTATCAGTTCTACCATAAATTGATGAGACTATAAATATAGTCTTGTCAATTTTTGGTTGTACTAATGAAATGCTTCAGTATCTATTGATTAAAACCAATAATGCAGCCATCGTGGCCTGTAGCTAGTAGTATCAAAGGAAGGAAGGAGGGTGAGAAATGACTTTTAAAATTAAACATTTTGTAATATAAAGGGTCGAATGATGCTATTGTACTGGCTTTGCTAAATAAATTTTATGCAAATAGTTTTGTCTTTATATTATTTTGTAATAATATGCCATTATACTATAATTTGTGAAACCTGGTCCAAGTGACATATCTATTACTCCATGAAGTTGCTAGGCTGGTCAAGCTAGATCGGTTTGTTTCTCAAAAGTGTCAATATCTTGCTATTAACATTGCTGGACAGAATTGTGATATGAAGAAAATTAAGACGAGGCTTATTTCCACGGCCGCCGTTTCCTCTACTCAATAATCACTGATTGTACCCTTACACTTTCGGTACGAGTCTAATACCGATTTGAAGTCGATCATTCATTTCATTACTGATTTCAACTGCTGCCATTTTTCTTACTACCCAGAACCAATTATTCTGTGATTGGGCGGCGACTTTGGTAGCTGACACGGCAGCCATGGAAATAACCACTTCGGAAAATTAATTATTCAGCTTCTCTATATCAATCATATATCAAATATTATTAACATGTTTAGTTGCCTATTAAGTTATATTCTGGTTTGAAAAACTTAAACAATCGCTAAGTAGCAGGTTCCGAGAACCTCTGCTCTACGTTAATAGAATTAACTACTCTTGATTGATGAATACTAGTTAGGAAATTGTTGCTCAGTGTATTAGATTAGTAAGTACGAGTTAACAAGAGTTCATCTACATGGTCTAATGAGCTAGTTGTTACATGGACCCACAAATAGTATGTATTGCAAGAAATTTCCATTATGCCTTGCCCTATCACAAGTGCTATTATGTCTTAAGTAATTTTGTCAAGGATTTCAAATTACTGCTCAAAATAGGAAATCTGAACATAACAGCAAGCATCTATGTATAATAACAGCCAGACATAATATGAAGTCTATTATCATTTGTTTGTTGTAGAGAAATTAAAACATGACACAAGTACAAGTATGCTTAGTTACACTGTCACACATGTATATATAAAAGAATGTGTACTTTGTTACATTATTTCCTGGGAAAAACCAGATTGCGAATATGATAGCTGTTGTGAAGAACGACAACGCTTAACGCATCTTAGTCTTCCGAGCATAATTAGAATTCCTCCTCGCAATGTAAACAAAAAATTAATACATAATCTAAAGATGTGAACACAGCCAACTAACAGGACTGACGTTTATACGACCTAGCTATACAAATCTGCTGCACGGAAGCTGCTCACAGATACAGACTCGCCGCGAAGATGATGTCGCGCTTTATGCTCTTGATTCCCTCGGCAAACTTGTTTTCGAGATCGGTGTTACCGATCGCCTTCGCCGCGCAGCTCATCTCACGCAGCAGCTCCTCGAGCCGGCGCATGCAGCGGATCACGCTGCCCTCAAACACGTCCGTCATCTTGCAGATCTGCGCGAAGGTGGCGCCGCGCGCCCACGCGTACGTCACGTCCATCATCGTCGGCTTGAACTTCTCGACGTACTCGTCCTCCTCCACCGGCAGCTTCGCCTCGTTACTCACCTTGGCGATGCGGCGCGCAAGGTCCTGCATGAGCCGCAGCGGACCCGACAGCTCGTCCGTCAGCTTCGGCATCTGCGCAGACTTCTCGTCGAAGACGAACGTCGACAGCAGCGCGACGCACTGCGGCGCCGTCAGCTCGTTGAAGACGCCGTTGAACATGAGCTCTGTGAGCAGCAGCTCGTCACCACTGCTGATCTCGCACGCGACGCGGCCCTTCAGCTCGATGACGTCCGACGCCGTGCAGTAGCCCATGCGGCGCAGCACGCGTTTGCGGCATTTCAGTTCGTCCATCTGCACGAGCGAGCGCGCGCGCTTCAGCTCGGCGCGCGCCGTGCGCACGCCTGCTGCGAGCCGCGCCTTCTCGTCGTAGCGTTCGTAGAGTGACGCGAGGGCTTCATCGCCGGCGAGCGCGTGCGCGTGAAGCCGCCTCTCGAACGCCTCAATCTTGCGCACGACATCGACAAACGGCTTCTCCTTGATGCCCATGTCGTCGACGGGATCGAGAAGAGGGAGGCCCTGCGCGAAGCGCCGCTGCACCTCCTGCAGCGCGCGCAGCACGCTCCCACGGTTGTCTGGCGGCCGCAGGTCGCGCGGGCAGTACAGTCGCACGGAGCTGACTGCCTGCACTGCGCTCATCAGCACGGGCACAACGACCATCTCGCCGCGTTCCCCCGCTGCGTACGGCTTGATGCGGCGCGGGTCGCGCGACGCTGCGCCATCCGACGCGACGTGCAGCAGCGCGTCGATCACGTACGTGCTCTCGGACGCGCCGACGACGTCCGACTTGCCCCCGGACTTCTTCTGGAAGGCGACGACGACGCTCCATCCGAAGTCGTCGTCGCCGCTCTTCACGCGGACGAGCCGGCCCGGCTGCAGGAACGGCACGAGGTAGAGCGGCCGTGTCAGGTACGCGCGGAACTCGCGGCCGAGGCTGTCCAGCTGCTGCCGGATCTTGTAGTAGGACTCGACCTCGGCCTCGCGCGGGATCGCGAGCGCCGCCTGCTGCTCCTCCTGCCGCCGCAGCGACTCGTGCAGGCGCGGCAGTGCGGCGTAGTTCTGGAACTGGTGGAACGAGCGCTCGAGCATGTACTCGGGGTTGATCTCCTCGACTCGCAGCAGGTTGAGCACCATGTTGTAGGTCAGGTGGAAGGCGCTGTTGAGCGCGTCCGCGCTGCCCTTCACTAGCTCCTTGCCAACGGTCGGGCTCATCTTCTCGTCGACCATCAGGATGACGATGCCGCGATCGTCAATTCCGCGGCGACCCGCGCGTCCGCTCATCTGGATGTACTCGCCGGACGTGATCCAGCGGAAGTCCTTGCCGTCGAACTTGCGCGCATTCGTGAACAACACGGTCCTTGCCGGCATGTTCAGTCCCATCGCAAACGTCTCGGTGGCGAACAGCGCCTTGATGAGGCCCTCGCCGAACAGGATCTCGATCGTCTCCTTGAGTATGGGCAGCAGGCCGCCGTGATGTATGCCGATTCCCTTCTTCAGCAGCGGCAGCACGGCCTCCACCTGCGGCAGCTTGCGGTCCTCCTCCGATAGCGCGTCCATCGCGTTGCTGAACACCTCCCCGACGAGCGTCTTCTCCTCCTCCGTGTTGAAGTCGATCTTCGCCATCTGTATCGCGTACGCTTCGCACTCCTTCTTGCTGAAGCTGAAGACGATCACCGGCTGAAAGTTGCGCTCCATGATCATCTTGACGATCTTGAAGCAGTTCGACTCGCCGCGCGCGCCGCCCTTGCGGCCCGGCTTGTCGCCCTTCGCCGCGTCGCCCGCCGATGTCAGCACGGCCATCGCGGCATTGAAGTTCTCCTCGCGGAACTCAGACTTCTCGTCGACGACGAGGTGCAGGCCGTCGCCCCCGGCCGGGAACACGTAGTGCTGCAACGGCGTCGGCCGATAGTCGGTGTAGACGACGTGACACGGCTGGTTGTGCAGGTGGCAGATCCACTCGGCGAACTGCCGCGCGTTGGGAATCGTCGCCGACAGGAAGACAAAGTGCACGGAGTCCGGCAGCAGGATGATCGTCTCCTCCCAGACGACGCCCCGCTCCTTGTCGCGCATGTAGTGGATCTCGTCGAAGATGACCCAGCCGACCTCGCGCATCACCTCCGAGCCGCGGTAGAGCATGCTGCGCAGAATCTCGGTCGTCATGACGAGACAGCTCGCCGTCGGGTTGATGGTGATGTCGCCCGTCATGAGACCGACGTCCTGGAACTCCTCGTAGAGTTCGCGGTACTTCTGGTTGCTGAGCGCCTTGATTGGAGTCGTGTATATGACGCGCTGCTTGTCACGCAGGGACATCGCGACGGCGTACTCCGCCACGACAGTTTTTCCCGCAGACGTGTGCGCCGAGACGAGAACCGACTGTTCATTCTCCAAGCACAGGACGGCTTCCTTCTGAAACGGGTCGAGAATGAACGGGTATTCCTTCGGCGGTTTCGTCGTCGGCGCTCGTAGCGGCGTGTATTCCATCTCGTGAGGAATGGCGACTTCGTGCGTGCATGCTTCCACGGCTTCCACGCGATGAATTTGAATGCGTGGCAGGAGTTCTTCTGGTGCAATGTCTTCTTTTTCTTTGCCTGCAACAAAGTGTAAGTAGCATGTGCATTACTTACAGAACTTTTTCGACAATTATTCCAGTTACAGATTACACATATATGCAAAAGGTATGGAGGGATATCTTATCTCAGTACTGACAGTAGTAGTATCTTATAATTATATCTTATTAATAATATTATATATTCTATCCTATTAAAGTATTATATCTTATAATCTTCTGGGAATTTGACTTCCTTTGACCATGTATTGTGGATCTACTTTGGGGGGGGGGCAACTGCCCCTGTGCCCCCGGCTAGCTACGGCCCTGTTATAGTATTATTAATAGTAATGCTAATTCCTCAGAGTCCTACTACTATTACTAGCTCTAGTAGTAGTAGGTACTATAGCCCGCGTACAGTTGCCGCAGGGCTGTAGAACATTCTATTACGAATGCTAGGGACCAACCCGCTGACTGGCATTGCTGCAGCACCACCAAAAATGGCCGTTTGAAGTTCGTAAATAATGTTCGTTCACAAGAAATACCCCAAGCAGACCATTTCAACAATAGTTAGAGGTTAAATTTTAGTAGCTGATATAACTTAAGACATATTCACTTCGGATAAGAGGTGTCACGGTCTGAGATTGCACCGGTCTTAAATTACCCCAGCACGTCGTGCGCATGCGTGACGCATGCGCAATAGCGCTGCGTCTAGAGCGGTAGCATTGAGCAAATGAGACTGCCGCGGGGGCAGTCAGCATTGTACCGTAGAGTTTGGACCGTAGTACCTGTGATAACTAATACATATATATATATATATACAGCCCTCGACACTAACGGTTGTCCGATTGCCCGGGACAAGTGGAAGTCTACGTCGGACAAGTTATTCTCTTGGCTAGTTGCCCGATCAGACAACAACAAAATTTCCAGTTGTGTAAAATTCCTAACATCCGTTGAGCCAGGGCGCTATCGCACGACATTTCTTACGTTATATTTTCGAAATTCGCCGAAAAAACGCACATTGCG